GTATGCCAACCATTGAGTTAATTGGCTATTTATTTAGGCCCGGACCAGTGTGAGACCGTAGGTGGACAGGATCTCGTTGACTGGCTGGAAAAAGGTTGTACCACCTGAGGAGCAGGAGCCGGAACCTCCTGAGGTGACACCCTGAGCCTGGGCGCCGGTGTAGAAAGAACCGCCGGAATCGCCGGGCTCGGCGCAGACACTGGTCTGGGTGAGACCGGTGACACGGCCCTGGGAGTAGCTGACAGTAACACCGAGGGCCTGGACGCTGCCGCAGTGGACACCAGTGGTAGAGCCGGAGCGGCAGATGCTGGATCCAACCGCAGACGCGGTGCTGCCAGAGACAGGGAGTCTACCGCCGCTGTAGTTGTTGATGTAACCAGTGAGGGTGGTTCCACTGACAGTGCGGATGTAGCTCATGTCGGCGCTGCCTGGGAAGACGGAACCAGAGAAGGTTCCAAGGGCCGCACCACTGGAAGTGGTGGCAGAAGCACCTACGCTGCCGCAGTGGCCAGCCGAAACAAAGCCGGTAGTGACGGAAAAGCCAATAGAGCAACGAGCGCTGTTGTTGATGTAGTAGGCGTCGCCACCCTGGACTGTGGCGAAAGTCTCAGGGAGTGACTCAACCACGCGCACTTCAAACTCAGAGGGAGTGAGCCCAACCTGTGCGGCGAGCTGCTCGGCATGGGCGGTGCTGTCTGCCAGTGCCTCCAGGATGAGCTTGTTGGCCACAACATCAACGTAGTACGAGGCAATGCCCGACCCGGATGAGGTCGTGTCGAGAGCACTCGCCTGGTCAATGTCCAGGTTGTCAAGTGCCACCTTGGCATCTTCAAGCTTGGTGAAGCTGTTGGCCAAGACGACAGGAGTGGCACCAGCAGCAGTCACTTCAGCAGTCAAGGACTCGTCAGTGATACCGACGTTGATGGTGTTTCCATCGTTGGAAACCCAAGCACCGGCGAATTGAGCACCCACGGAGTTGCGCAGCTGGTCAATGACATCGGCAGCCTGGATCTCCCGGGCAACACGAGCAGTAGCCTGCTCGGTGTCCAGGCCCAAGTCCCGCTTCATGGCAGCTAGGATCTCAGGGTGCAGCCTTGTAACAGCCTCAGTGGGAGCACTGTAAGCAAGGGGCAGGATGAATGCCAGGGCAGCGAGGAACCTAGTGAGCTCCATTTCTAACGTTCCAAAGACAAGATGTAATAGATAAAAGTGTCGATGTTGTAGATGCTATAGAGCAATGAAGGCGGGAGTTGGATACTGGGTTGAACTGTTGGATAGAATGAGGATATACTCCCTTATTTATACTTATCCTGACTATATGGTTCTGATCGGCATCGCGCTGTTGGTATCGTTCTCTTGAACCCAAGTCTACATGTCACGATGCTTCACTAAACTCCTCCTTCCTAATCCGCACCCTCATATCACTGTGAGATTTCAAAGCACCAGCTTGGCAGTCCTGAAAAGGCATTTCACAAAGGGCCAACTCATGATATCTTTGTGAGGTTTCATAGTATCAGCTTGGCAATCCCTAAGAGGCACCTCAGAAATGTTCGCCCCGTGATTTCACAGTAGTACCAGCTTGGCAATCCTTAAACGGCACTTCAAAGAACAACCGCTCCGCGATGTCACAGTGGTATCGGCATGGCACCTTTGAAGCTCGCTTACCCCGCCATGTTACAGTAGTATCAGTAGGGCAGCTCTTACAAGGCACCTTTGAAGTTGCTTACCCCATGATGCGATAGCCTATAGCTTAATAGGAAGGAGGACAGCAAGGGACATGTTAGATAAGAAAAGTGCCGAACAAACAAAAGGCCGTTAACAGCGAGCGCTGTTTGCCACCTCAGGTTTATCAATACATTAGTCAGGTCTGAAGCTCGCTTTCGCTTTGACTGGAGTGCATGGTTAATCTGGTGAGCTCATCCCGGCACTTGTATTCTACCATCAATCCCCACGTTGCTATTGGCGGCCTCAGCCCGCAAAACCTACATAAGTATTAAGACAGAAAAACATCTTAGCTTTCTTCCATTAAATGTACTGACTTTCGATGTATTTCTCTAGGCTCAGTCTTGGCCGTACTTGCACTTGTAATCATCTCTTTAACAATAAAGGGTTTCTGGCTTTGCAGAAAACCTTGTCATTTTCCACTTATAATAATGACAGTGCCAAGCTAAACCAGCGTCGGGATCTACAACACTAAACAATTAAGTGACCGGTATATGGACTATCTATTAACGTGCATGTAAATGGCAATAAAACGAGGTTAATGTGAGATCACTCTTATCTAAGCCAACTTTTCCAAATGTAGTTTGAACGACAAAAAAAGGGGCATGGAAGGAAAGGAAACTTGTCCAAAATCCCCTCCATACAATATCTGCTTTTTAGCACACGTACTGTGTCGCAAATGAACCTACCAAAACTCTTGTCTGCGAATCTGACCTTCAGAACCCCGAAAAGAATTATAGTCACTTGCCGAGTAAACTCCCTTTTTATGAAAGTAATTCTTACTCGATTATATGCGACCTGTGACCTGCCTGGCAGCTGTGAGTGCTATCTCCTTTAACACCGTTTTGTCCCTCGGAAGTCTCCTCTGGTAGTTATCCGCTATCAGGAGCTGATCTAGAAGATATTCCATCTCTTCATCGTCTGCAGCTTCAAAAGAAGACATGAGCTTCTCGAACAGATCCATAGCCTCGATTGGTTCAGCTGTCAAGACATAGGGAATAGTCGTCCATAACTTGACGGCTACTGCTCGATACTTGTTGTATATATCCTGATCGGGCTCCCCATACCACACACCAATGTCCCAGATAACCCGTAACAATATCATGCGACAGCAATGCATCTCGATCCACTTTTGCGCTAGACCGACGGAGCTGAAATCCAGCTTCGAACCGAAACGTGACTGGGGGTCGGGAGCCTGAACGATGGCGCCATTACGCGATAGGTTTTCGATTATGGGCAGAACGACTGTGTCCATTTTGTTTCCTCCCTCAGATACGCTTTGAATGGTTTGTTTGGCGAGTTGCCGATTCTCCTCCGGATTGGCCCGGATTTTCCTCACATCCCCAAGCCACTGAGAGAAATTAGCGAAGATACCATAAAACTCCAGAACCGCTTGTTTCAGGTCTTTATTTAGGTTTTTGTTCAAATGCTCTTCGCTCGCGTGGTGTAGAACCTCTTTCCAGGGAGATTTTAACTCCCCATCATCACCCAGACCGTTCACACCGGCCGATTGCTAGTAGTTCTCACGTCAGCTCACTCAGCCCATATTCACCACAGAGCATTGGATATCAGGGTGTACTGACTAAAATGCAAACACTTTCAAAAGCCGCACCAAGGTCAAAGGGATCCAGCATATCCGGCGGGGGATTCTGCATCAGCACATGCCGAATTCCACGTAGGTGTAATTCCAAGTTAGGCGCCTTGCCAACTCCAAACAATGAAACGGCACGCTCTAGCATATTCATGGCGGCTAGTGTCTCTGGCGTATATCCCTTGCCATGGTTCAAAACCTGCTGCAGACTCTTCACTGCCTTAACGCAGAGGCGAGGCGCAAGCAGATTCTCAGCCGGCTCACGCCGTCGATAATCAGCCCAGGCGGAACAGAAGAACGCGGCGCAGTCACGAAGGCATGTGCTGTGCGCTATCCGCTGGGGGGTATGAGGCAGGTAGCTCATCTTCATTACTGTGACGGTTTCATGCCCGTCCTCCAGAAGAGCAAACAGCCGGCGGGACACGCGCTCTGCAACGGTGGTGGCTGGAATACGCAGGCCTTGAAGCCGGAAAACAGCCTGGGATGCGCCGTCTTCCCCGAGGCGGATCCAAGGCTTGCGCTCTATCATCGCCACAGGTTTGTTGGAATCGGCAGGGTTCAGTCGCGGCTGTGTCTCCATTGACGCGCCTGACTTCTTGCGACCATCGCCATGGTTGACAAATTTGACGAGAGAGGCGGGCCCTGAGCAAACTACGGAATTTCGCTGGCACGCGGTACAAGTTGGCCAATTCTGATCACACTGATTGAGGTTGACACACGAAGTCAGTCAACTTGTATCGCAGCTTTTGCCATGTTTCATGACAGGAACTAATTGAGGTAGCTCACCTTTCTCTTTCTTCTCTTGCAGTTCTCGCAAGCTCTTGAAGTGAGGTTTCGAGGCATTCTTTTGGCAGGCTTCGATGCGACTTCTCCTGGCCAAGAGCCTGCTCAAGGACAGAATGTGGTTGCAAACAAGACAAGTTTAGAAAGAAATTGAAGGACCTCGAAACAGTCCCTACCGGACCCCACCTTATTAATCTTATTAATGCCGGACCCCATGTGCCGGATTTGTAGCCAATCAAGCATTGGCAAAGGGGAAGCCGTCACGCCCAAGCCGTTCTCTGCCACCAAATCTTTGCCTACCCCAGTAATGCACGGGCTCGGGCCACCAAAGAAAGCTTAAGACCCGAACTTAGCGGTTTCGAAGGCGTGATTGGGAATAGAATCCGCGGAGATGGGGAAAATGCCTCGAGACAAGAGCTAGACTAACATGGACTGGCGAATAACACCAACAAAAAAGAGTCAACGTCGCACGCAAAACAGGCGTGCAGGAGGAGGAGGAGGGGGAGGAGTCGATCTCGAAAGTAACAGCGCTCAACTAACATGAAGACAAGCTGCGCCTAAGGTTTCCAAAACCGGGGGATATACGCCAGTATGGGCCAGCATGGGGAATCGCTATTGGAAAACATAAGAAAACTCTCAGGAAAGATTTTGAGGATTTGTTATTGGTGTTTTTGGGAGAGAAAAATGAATGACTGGCAAATAGCAACCCGGCATTTTACTGACACGAACGACAGGCGATCCATCTCAATACCGAAAAGAAAATAAGACGTTGATTTATAATACTATATGCTAGAAGTTCATATAAGTGAGTGTCATGATTGCATATATACACTGAAATAGATTCGCATCAACTGTAAAATGGAGCCACGGCTCAACAAGTTGCAAAGAGAGTGTGGGATGCCATTCAAGGAAGAATTGGCATCTCCGCGTTCCTCTTCCCGCAATCAACTTGCTCACCTTTCCGTTGTGACAAGTCCCTAAGCACTGCCTCCCAGTTTGACATCGTAATTCTCCATTCGCTATCTTTGTTACCCCAGTCTGGCTCGAACTTCGCATCGGGAGTTTCTATGTCGATATCCGCCGCGGCTGATTCCAGGCTGATTCTCGGCATCCCCTTTTCGAATTCTTGGTTGTCAGAGACCATCTTATCATTGACCACTGGAAAGTCAATCTCTTCGGTTTGGAAATTGTTGAACTCCTAACAACATTGTAAGCGCCCAGTTCGACTCCACGATGTGGATTGAGAATATAGGGATAGTGTTACCTCAGGCTCCTCCATTATCCAGTTGGTGGTCGACGAAAGGGCGACAGAGCAATCATTTACCGCGTAAGATTTGTCCGCCTGGCATCTTTGAAATATTCTCCGAAGTCCAGTACAGACCTTTGCACTATCAAAGCGATTCTCTACCTGTGGTTGGAGCATAGAATCCAGTATCAGTTGCAGAAAATCATCGACAGCCCTTGGGCAGTATTCTGAGTCGCGTATGTCCTTAATCCACTGTAAAAGAACGTCAGCCTCTCAGGGTGAGTGCAGAGGTATATGTCGGTTCCATACCTTCAGAACACCTGGCTTGACTCTAGCTGAGCCAGCGCCGGAACATTCAATGTCGAAAAAAGTGTCTGGCCTGAATGCTTCATTTGTTTCAGGAAGTCGAGCCGTTGAGAAATCCTCCGTTGCATCCACTCCAAGAAAAAACCAGGATACAAACTCGACGAATACGCATCCCAAAGACCAGACATCGTATTTGCGTGTGACTTTTTTGGTGAGAAAAACTTCGGGAGGCTGATACGTGTCTGTGCCTGCGAGTCCGCCTGAGCCTGGATGCGATCTTGAGTCCCGACTGTGAAATTTGGTCAAACCAAAATCTGTTATCATCAGGTGATCCCTTTGTCCGTTGTAGTCCCGGAACCAAAGAATATTCTCTGGCTTGATGTCACCATGACGGCCATATAATTTGTCGTTCTCGACCTCTGCCACCAAGTCCTCTGCCCGGTAACGCCCATCAGCACCAAATACTGGACGCTCAAAGCTATGAAGGTCGTGGAGACGTCGGAGGCCTGTCGACAGCCCGAGGCACTGGTCAAAGAACCAAACGACATCGTCGTGCTTGAAGAAGTTGCGACTTCGGTTCTCGTGTCGCCAGAAATGCGCAAGGTCTCCGTCTGCCCATGGGAACACAAGATAGCAGTCCTTGCCATGTCGACACGCCAATTCTAGACGCATAAGATGGTCATCCCTGTGTCCTCGTTTTGCCGATAACCTCTCCAAATTCTCCACCTCTTGTCTGAATTCATTGCAATCGTCTCTAATTAGCTTTTTCCAGGCAAAATAGACGTCTTCCTTTTTCTGCTCATTGTCTAGTGTCAGAGTTATACTTGAAAAATGATATTGTGTTGTTCATTCGTGGGTTATAGGAGCAAAACTCAATACGCACCTTGCGAGGATCCACATAATCATGATGTGCTGGGTGAATCTGTACTTTGCTGACTTTTCCGTTCCCTCCAGCTTCACCTGGTATCATACTGATGAAAGGCAAGACGCACTCGGTGTCTAAATCGTAAAACCGAAAGTGACCATCATCTCCTGAAAACCTAAAGAATGGTAGGTGAATTTCTTGTTGATACATATCAAAATGCCCCATCTCTTTTTTGGTGAATCCCCACAGACAGTCTTCTACTTTGGAGTTGTCGAAGCGAGATTTTGTTTCACATCGAGGGACATGTTTGAGCCCAGACTGTCGACTCTGGTTATCCACGGCACGAATCTTTACAGGGAGCACTGAGTCATCAATCTCATGTTGAATGAACTTCTCAATCGCCTGTATGCGCCGGACCATAACCAAAATAGCGAATATTCTTTTTAGCCCAGGCGTTCTTGTTTCTGATTTGTTAGGCCCAGGCTCGCCTAGGATCGTCGAGGCCATTCGCACAACTTCTTCGGAAGCAAAGCCCGCCCCCTCAAGCAGGCTCTCCAGGCTTCGACGATTCATGAGAATCTTAAGCTTATCAAGAGGTAGAAATCTTTTTAGGCCTGAATCCTCTGGCTGGAAAATGGCTTCCCATATCATTTCGTCCATGCTGGAAACGTCGGAAATCTCGCCCACGGACTCAGTGATGGATGAGCGACCAGCTGACGTATCCAGTCCTAACTTTTCATCTTGCCATTTGGCATACTCTGTTACACCCCTATCGTAGACGCTAATGGCAGACATGAAGCTAAGATCGGTTTGGCCGCTGTCAGACCGAGTTCCCAGTCCCAGTTCGCGTCGAGGTACTAAAGAGTCATTTTGATTATCAAAGAAAGATGGCGCTGCTAACCCGGGCCGCCTGTGATGAGTGGCCATTTTAGTCGATAAGGGCTCGAATGAGCATTCACGCCTTAACGATAATTCAAAATGATAATGGTGTCACAGCAACGGGTTAGGATTCAGGGGCGAAAGCGGCGGCTTTTGTGACCTACGGGCGGTGCCGATAGGCTGACTCTGCCAAATGCAAAGCCACAATAGGCTGAAGAGGCCTACGATTTAAAGCATATAACCTTACGCCCCTTGCTCTTACGCGGATCCGCCACCAACCACCACATAGAGTGGCCGTGCCCTGATTATTGGCACTTATTCAGCTTGATACATGGAGCTACGTGGCTAAAGATGCACATTGAGTGGGCCAGCCGAACGCGGGCATCACCCGAACGACAGACTGACGCATAATCTGCGAGAGTTGATGGCTGATTACCCGGGCAGATTTAAGGGAATGCAACCCCATGAATGTACGTGCATACATACGATGAGCGACACCGAACGAATACGTAGTGATCATTGACCCCCATCCCGAACCTCAACTGGAAAAGCCCAACAGGTCACCAAGCATCCTTGTGGTCGCCTTGGTCATCGCCATCACAACCAAGTGCGAACAGGGCCAATAGAATTGTGTCAGGGGGTCACAATGCATTTGTGGGTGGTGTGATATAAGCCTACCAGGGCTGCATGTAATACATCCATTACTCATTTGACTCATTTGCCCTGCTGCCTCGCACAGCCGACCTACCGTGACGCCTTAGCGAACTACATGGCTGCCTCATGAGCATCTGTTAAATAGGCATTCCCCAATGTAATGATGGTCTCAGGGTCTTTTCGGTAGTATTCAATCGAATACAAGATTGGAACAACAACAACATCAAGGTCTTTCAAGTAGAATCAAATCGAATACACAATTGGAACAGCAGCTACACCAGACTCATCAAGAACGTCATCGTCGCCAAATCTCCCTAGCGGTTCTACTCTCGAACTCAACAATGTCAAAGAAACACGATGGCGAGCTACTTTGCGACCCAATAAGCAACAAACTAGTCTCTGCACGGCAATTGCTCAGAGCCCTCGAAAAACATTTCGACAAAGGCACATACAGCGTTGAGATGAGACACAATTGCTTCTACATTTACGTAGATAATGCGTAAATAACCGACGACTTCATGACTTGCGCTGGCTCGCAAGCCAAGGGCGCCCCCAAAGCCAATCAACACGCTGTCCTCAGGGACGTTGAGTTTGGGGGTAGGGGGCGGGGGGAAGAGCGCTGGATATGTCGCTCGCACGAGGATAACGGACGGTTCGGATTTTGAAATTGCTGATTTAAATTGAACAATAGACTGCATGTTTACCCTTTAATCTGAATCTCCTTTTACAAATAAAAAACCCCAGGGCGTAGGGCTTTCTGCTCAAAGTGTGATTGTAGAGATCGACAGAAAGAGGAGTCGTGTAAGAAAAAGGCGGACATCACACCATCAAGTGGCTCGCGAACCAAGTACAGCGTTCAGCCAGCCAAATATGGAAACGAGCGGCATTAGCCAAATACATGGTGGAAAATAAAGGAAATCTGGGCGGGGATGACTGCGACGTATTGTCAAGTGACCAAGGCAGAGCCCAATCAAAACCCAGGAGGCAATATGCACCATACACTCTATTGGGTCGTATGCGAGCGCATAAACTGCTGACCGGCTATCTCAAAGCTGATGCGCGATTATCTTTTCAGGGATAGTGGCCGAATTTCACTTTGGCAGACAAGCAGAGCCTCTTTGGTGCCCGTCTCAGCCAGCTCATCCAGAGGGGTACCCTGTCTTTTTTTGGTGCCTGATCATGACATTCCTATATTGAAAACAGGCCGATGTCCTCGCCCAATTGATGAGTGATTACTCACTAGTGTCTGATTGGATTTCTAAATCAATTGCGTCCCATTCTCTCGAGTCCAACATCTGATGAAAATGGCCAACCAAGAGAGCCCGACGACATGCCTCGGGACCGGGCAACCACTTGAAACTACCCTACGGGATTTGGATGACGAGGAACTTGCTGAGGAGCTTGATGGGATGATCTCCGAAAACTATTGCGGGAAAAAGTACATGCCTTCAAAATGGATGGAGGCATACACGTCAGAAGCAGTAGTTAAGAGCATTCTTGGCTCGCGATATGAACCGCCCCTAGTCCCCGATCTGGTTTCATATGTCTTACACTCGCCCGCCAAGAAACTACTGCTTTTGCTCGCCCTTTGCCAGGCACTACACTGCCTTCCAGCAATGAAGAATTTCGGGCTTAATGATGACTACCTTCCTGTCACCATTATCCGCAAACCTGGCACCAAGGGACTTATACGGAAACTTGGCGACCACGAGGGAGGGAGGGGGGATTTTCCTGTCCCACACGACTGGAACCCATCGATGAGAGGCTCGTTCGAAAGGAACCAATGGCTGTTTCTTGCGCCTGTCTTTACAGAGGATCGATTTCATCATGAATTGCACTCGGATACTCCCCTCCCGTTTCTACCGATGGAAACCAGCCCTCAGCCAAAACTAGGTGGCTTCAGCACCGTACTCGAGGTGCACGTGGATACATCCCATCAACGCGTGATTACAACGGTAGGCTTCCTAATCTATGCTGTATATTATCTCTACGTGGCGGGCCATAAATCTGACTGCGAGTTCTGAAGTATGGCCAGCCGAACTCATCAAAGGCCGCTCTCAAAGACTTGCGTGTTGGTTTGGAAAACTATGAAAGGGAAAAGAAGGCTCTGGAGAAGATCAGAAATATAGACAATCCTCACCTTGTTAAGCCCATCGCAAGCTTGAGGCTGGCCGATAAGTCAGGGTATTTTCTCTTCCCGTGGGCCGAAGGTGGAAATCTTTGGAACTTCTGGGGTGATGAGAGCAACCGCCATGGAGTTGTTCAATTGGGAGACTATCCAAAGTTCCTGTGGACCTTGAACCAGATCCATGGACTGTGCCATGCTCTTGTTGCTTTGCACAATGAGGAAGACAAGGTCAGCGACCATAGACTGGCACTTAGGGATGATGGACGCATCAGAGACGAAAATGGCCGCCACGGAGATATCAAGCCAGACAATATTCTGGTTTTTCATAAGGCCGGTAATCCCCATGACACTATCCTTTGTATTGCTGATGTTGGCCTAGGCAAGTTCCATGCCAAAACAACGCAGGTGCGAATGGAGGGCAACGAAATAACGGACACAAAAACGGGAACTTCCCGGTATCTGCCACCTGAATTTGATATGAAGACAAATAAACAAATATCTCGGCTTCACGATGTGTGGTCACTTGGCTGCGTTTATCTTGAGTTCGTTGTCTGGGCTCTGTGGGGGGAGCCTGGTCTGAAAAGATTCCAGTCATCGTCTTTTACTCAATTCTGGCAGTGTACAAATAAGCAGAAACACCTTCATCCAGAGGTGAAAACATGGATTTCGACTATAACTGAAACTCTATCTAGCGTCGAAGCACCAACTGCTCTCCTAGACCTGGTACAACTTGTTGGATCTGATATGCTTCAGCTAAAAATGAGCCGCAAGAAATCAAAGGATATACTCCCCAAACTGAGGGAAATCCTCGGAAAAGCAAAATCTGACGAAACATATTGTTTTAATCCTACCATTCAACAAGAAGCCAAGACGATTACCAACAGCAATTATTCAAACAAGCTAAGAATACCAATTGCTTTGCCAGAAGTAGGTCCCGCTCACCCCTCCTACATGAATTCCGTCTATACCTAGTTTACTAACTAGGTCTTTTAAGTATGTGAGAAATCTCAAAATTTATTAATTTGTATTTTCTAATAAGACATTAGAAAGTGAGATAAGCCCACCACCATTACCGAAGCACAGTCTCAAATTGGTTTCTCTGTTTTCTCCCTGCCCACCATTCCAATCCCCTTTTATTTCTCATTTGCTCTTTCTAGCTAACGTTATTATTGACGGTTAAGACTGACTATCTTAGTCTGTGAGTTGATGTTCCCATGTTCCACAGAAAAGTGATTATCCGACTAAGATGCACCAGTCTGTAAGTTGCTACTTCATCAGAAAACAGAGCTTAAGCGGGCTACTAAACTCCTCTGCTCTCTCTCTATAGGACATGAGCAAACTGGAAGATGTGTGGGAATCTTCTTCCGATAACAATTTCGCAAAACGGCTCTACGAGATCCTACGTGACAAGGTCACAACAGAAGTTCCATCAACAAGTTCAGTCACACGTGGCCTCTGTGCCCGATGCTTAGGTCTGGATTTCTGTAAGCCTGGTTTCAGGGCCTTTATACAAACCAAGTGGAAATATGAGACCTGCCAACTTTGCAGTTTGCTATGTCAAGCTTTTAAAACTCTTGGCTACGGTGATGGCCATCATGACGACGTGGAAATTTATCGAAAGGGGTCAAAGGTTCTGGCCCATACCGAGTCGTCCGATTTTTCAATACTTTCTCTATACATGCACCCAGGTCGGGAAACATTCTGAACACTTCACAAACGGACCAGCCTAACATCCATTTCAGATTTCACTCAGTTGCCATCTTCTGATATCCAGCTGGGGACCCCCCACTTACCTGCCGATGGAAGTATTCACCAAATCGAACTCTTCAAGGAATGGATTCGGACATGCGAAGAGTCTCACAACCATTCAGGTAGCAGTCCGGGTACGCAATTGATGATGTCCAATATCTCCAACAGGATATCAACTACGAGCCAGCTAGTTGACCCCCCGACACGTGTCATTGATGTGAGGGGCGGAATCGGAGACAAGATACGCCTCATCCTGGGAAAGGATATGCAGTCTCCGGTCTTCTTCGCTCTGAGTCATCGTTGGGGTGATAAGGATGAGCATCAAGTCGGCCGCACGCTGCCATGCAATGTGAAAGATCGGTTTAACGGAATCAATCTGGTCGAACTACCAAGGAACTTCCAAGAAGCCATCATGCTAACCAAGGCAATGGGCGTACGATATTTGTGGATTGATTCACTATGCATAATCCAAACCGACAGCAATGACTGGAAACGGGAAGCTGTGCGAATGGAGCAGGTATACAGCAATGCCTCTTGCATCCTCGCCGCTTCTTCCTCCAATTCTTCAATCGAGGGATTCCTCAAAAAGTCGCGTGAGAAGCGGCCTTATGTCTCAGTCAAGTCACTATCAGGGAGAATAGTCTATGTTTGCAAAGATATAGATGACTTCCACACGGATGTAGAACGCTCGATTCTTAACTCAAGAGGTTGGGTCCTCCAAGAGAGAGCGCTCGCTCGGCGGATAATTCATTTTACAAAAAACCAAGCATACTTTGAATGTGGAAACGGAGTTCACTGCGAGAGCTTGATGAAACTTAACAAGTAATATGCCTTCTACCTCCTAGGTGCCTTATATGAGGACTAACATACTAGGGTAGTGGCAAGGCGACGTTACTCGGCGACTCCAATTTCCCCAGATCAGCCGAATCATTCAATAAGACGGGGAAGATCGTCATCATGCAAAACTTGTATAAACAGTATTCAGCACTGGGATTCAAGTTTTTTGAAGATCGCCCTGTTGGTATTTCTGGGCTGGAAAGGCGGCTCACATCCGCATACGATACCCGCGGGGGATACGGTATCCTCGAAGCATACTTGGAGCGCAGCTTACTCTGGAAAAGAGATGACGCAAGATACCTAGAGCGGATTCAATTTCCCTCAGGGAGAAGCCTGCCCTCGTGGTCGTGGATGGCCTACAGCGGGACCATCACGTACGTTGAGATCAGATTCAATGAGGTCGACTGGACCAATGAGTACGTCTCACCTTTCGCATCGCTCACTAAAATCAGCAAGCAACATTGGGAAGCAACTAGTGAAGACAGATTACCAACACTTGATGTCAGCAAAGTGAGACCATTGAACCCCAGGTCCAGCCACGACCAGGCCCTAGCCAATATCAGTTTCGATGTCGCAGGGGCAGGATGCGCGATACAGGATTTGCGCTGCGTTGTCTTGGGTAAACACAAGAAGGCAATGGGAATCACCCCTTTACCTTGCTACGTGTTGATAGTGAAATCTGGCACGGATCCCAACACCGTTGTGAGGATCGGTGCTGGGATATTGCTGGAACATGACATCTGCTGGGATTTGTATGAGTCAAAGAGCCTCAATTAAGTAACACAGAAGAACAACACTGCCACTTTTTGAAATCTTAGCAAGCCAGGAGTGAGTACTAAGTAGAGAGATGGGGTGTCTAGTTCTATCCGACAAGCAGGAATACAGAGGAGGTGTGGCCAATCCGGATAGATGAGCTGCTGGCAATATGTAGTAAAAAACGCAGAATATCAAGCGTTTGCATACCAATCTTGAAATCACCTCCTCTCAGCGAGTCACATTGATCAGTTGACGAAGACAGCACGTGACATTCAAGATACACCCTGGCTCTCATCTCGACCCAAATTCCGTAGCATAGGTATCACAATCCCCGTCATCGGCAAACCCCGTCTACTGACCAGTAGTGGAGAGAATGAGGCACTCCTCACTCGAGGTGTGGTCGCCTAGATCGCTCAAGGTGTGCTCTACTGAGACTGGCTCTGGTTGGTTAGCTATTCTACAAAAGTTGGAGCAGACCTCGACTCATCTTTCAGCGCGTGACATCTCCTCTTGATTCAAGTGGAGCACACCTCGAGTGATCTAAGCGACCACACCTCGAGTGAGAAGGGGATGCTCAATCTTGCGTACCTCTAATTGGCTAGATATCCCAGTATGAGTGGAGCACACCTCGGGTGACCAACGCGACCACACCTCGGCCTAGCCAGCCACAACGATGAGTGCCCTCGGAGAATGACCACGGAGATATTACGGAGTTGACTGACTCGGGCTCTCAGTTTGCGCTAGGCTTCTCTTGCCTAGGTTAAAGTGCCAGATTTTATCACACCAATCAACACTCTGCAGCTAGTTTCTGGTACACCTACCCTGTAGACTCATAACCAACCCTAGGTGAGCAACGATCTCTTCCATTTCCCAATGGGCATTCCTTTTAAGGAAATTAACCATACCTGGAAAAATCCCTACCTTGGACTTAGATCGTGAATTTCTGTAATGAAAAGTTTGCGGAAAGCAGAGTTCTGGGGAAGGTACCCTATGAGCACTTATCACAATCTTACCCACTACCTTCGCATTATGTGGAAGACATTATGACCACCTGTGCACATTTTATTCCTACCACTAGGGATAATTTGAGAGCAGCAATCAATATAATCAGACCATCGATATAGTTGTAAACATATACTTTCCCATCATTTCTGCGTACCTAGGAAAGAAAACACAGCATTCATTGCAGACTCTGCTTATTAATATGTCATGAAACCAGTTGTCAGTTCAAACGGTGAGTCTTGGAGGGACTTGCACTAACCCCTTTTCAGCTTCAGTGGGGAGAGAAACGTTTCGCCTTAGGCTCCACATAATAACGCGTCAAAACGCGTCAGATTCCTTCAACCGTTCTACGCATTATCTTCATAACTCATAATTAAGTTCATAGTCCTCGCAATTATGCAGATGTTTGAATTGGGTTATATAGCCCGCCGAATAGCGAGTTCGGTGAAAGGAGCTCAATAAGGAGCTCCATAAATACAAAGGCCGGCAGAGAGAGCATGACTATAAGATTCATCGCCATGCAATACTATTAGGGATTAGGGACGTTGTGTTTGATTTTCCAGACCCTATAAAATTTCGGTTTAATTTTATTGTTGTCGATAAGTGATAAAAATTATTTGATTTTATCATGTTAACAACGCTAATAGAAAAACTACAACGACGTTCGTAGGTCTTTGTATCTTCTTGATACCTCTGCAAACATCCCTCGGATTTTCTTTGCCGCTAAGAATTTGATTCCCAATGTGTCGAAGAGCTCGATAGACAGATCAAGGTCATCAATGGCCCTCGTCTCTTTGAGAGCTGTAGCGAGATCAGTGGGCTGAACCGTGATGGCATATATGAGCGACAGGGTTGAGGTGAACAGCGCCAGAAGGTTAAGCCAATTGTACGCAAGCCGTTGCTGCTGATGCATATTAAACGCCTGGCGTAGGGACATGGATGATGCCTCTTCCAGAATCTTGATCTTTCTCTCGTCGACGACGGGAAATAGAGGCGACGGTCTATAGAGCATAGCCACATGGGTGTAATAGTTGAAATCATACCAGTTGGTACTGAAGTGTGGCACTCGGTCGCTGATGTCGGGAAGCGGGAATGGCATATTACGCCGCCAATCAATGAGCTCTTTGTGTAGCGAATGCAAGATCTCCTCACGCTCTTCTACAGTTAGAGAAAGGGCACGCCGATTGGAGTACACTTGTTTGGCTATTTTCCCGGCGATTGTTCGGAGGGCTAAGATATGGAGCGGCACGGAGATGATGGATGGAGTAAGTGAGCTCTGGGATCGGATGCCGCCAGCGTGGATGTCATCTTCGCTAGCATCTGTGAAAGGCTATAGCTCAGCCTGATTAGCTTGGGTTTCGTTTTATTTTGCGTGCTTCTAGAAATCTTCATTACCGAAACATCAATGTCATCATCGTGTAAAGCGAATGGACGACCTAATGCTAGTGATACGACGCTATTAAAGGAAATCTCGTTAGCGATGGTCTGAATTAGACATTCCAGAGCAAACACAACTCACCGATCCATCATGTAGATGGAAAAGAAGATCCGTTTGCGATGCTGCTGAATATTGACGGGCCAGCCCGCATATGTTGATTCGATATGTAACCCGATCCCAACGGCCAAGCGAGCTGCCATGCCGACGAGAAACCAAGTATCTACTTCTCAGTCAGGGCGCTATTTATAAGTTGCACTTAGATCTTGGACTCACTTGGTCCAAGCTGGTTGAAGAATGAGTATGAGATTTGCAACATGATCACTTCTAGGGCGGCCTGGATCTGCGTTAGTGCTGTGAAAAACATCTGGTATCGGATGTTGAACGAACCATTTCACCCAGTGCCATTGCCCGTTCAAAGTACTCAAGCGCTTTGCTATAGTATATTCGAGATTCCGATTCTTCCATCAAGGTAACCGAAGAGTACGCCGTTGACCCAATGGCGAATACCATCCAGACTCGGAAGAGGGCCAAAGGGCATTGCGCCGCTGGATCCAAAGGATTGTCTCGGACCTGCTGCAATGTTTGCATGAAGTCGCTTTTCACGAGTATTGGATACAACGTATGCGAATGCGCGAAATAAAAGTCTACCAAACGCTTGGAGTACACTTCATTCGTCGGCAAACTAAGTCCGGAAACCGCGTCTGTCGGTTCTATGGTGTCGGCTAATAATATGTCACCGAACAGAGTAGGATGGCTGGGGATGGACTCGCTCAGCGTTTCGAAGACATGTGAGTTAAAAAAATCCAGCGACGAGTCAAAGTCGAAAAGCTGATCACTGCTGAAGCCACGCTGAGGGTTGTCGAAGACGAAATCCGCCCTATCGGGGGTCAAGCGGCGAAGCACCATTTGCGTGAGTTTTGCAAAGGACAGGCCGGATGTTGATCCCAAGTGTCGTTCTGCAGCAACACTGAACGAGACGCTTTTGAGTTCCTGATCAAAGGTGGGGGACGGCTCTTGAGCAAGGGGCTCAATATGCACTTCCGACTCTTGAAGGCGTGGTTCTACCGGAAGATCCTTTGGAGGAGGTAGACCTAGGAAGACCTCTGGCACTTGTCCTTCGCACGTTGGATTTGGATCCATGATGTCGGCCACAGCAGAGTCCGAATATGTATGATCATTTCCTGTGTCTATCAAACAGTCGTCGACTGGCGGCGACATTTGCGGTTCTGGTACGAGATTACTGCGCAGCTCTTCAAGGCGTCTTTCTAGGCCACGGACGTATCTAAGAGGACATAAGTTCGTTGAGTATGTATTCCGAATACCACTTGAATGCTTTATAGGTAGGTAAAGGAGACGTACGCGACAGAGTAGGACGCAGTCTGGGAGTTGTCGTCGATCAAGCTGCATTTAACTCGAGCAGATCGGCAATTTTTACAGGCGGGTAGTTCCCTGTCGCATCGCTTCTTTCTCCTATGGCATCGCGAGCATGATGATTTGGCCCTCGCCGCATTCGTGGGAGATGCTGCGTTGGACATGATGATCACACAGAGCGCAGACAAGGATCCGGTTGCACACTCAATGACTCCGCAAGAGATGTTCACGATCCCCGAAGCCGGGGCTATGAAATATTTATAGAGTTTCGCCTATCTTTCACACATGACAGCCAGTTATCTGTGGACCTTCTCCGCTTCCCCGCCCCTAAGATAGCTTCCCCAGTCTGGCCAAGGAGCGCCCTGATGATTTCTGTTTGCCTAACGGTTCGCTTATGATTTGCCGGGTCGATCTTGGATCTAGATGGTCCGGGACGTTGAAACTCCCCCCTATTAAGAGTCGAGAATGGCAACCGCCTTGACCTCGACAATCATACGGGGATCAGGCAGTTGCTTCACCCCAATGGTAGCCCGAGCGGGGGCACTGGCGCGATCCAGGAAGACCTTGTTCCACTCCTCGTTCATTCCCGTGTAATCCCTATCTATGTCGACTACATATACTACCGAGTCGATCACGTTTTGAATGCCCCCTTTCCCACCTGTCGCGCCTTTGATGATGTTATCGACATTCTCCAGAACCGCTGCGGTCTGCTTTCGAATATCAAGCGTATGTGTTCCGTCTGGATTCTCCGTCACCCCTGGCCATGTGCCGTCCGGTCGAACGCAAGCTGTGCCCGAGATGTAGATTGTCTTGCTGGATGTTGAGGCGATCCGAGCTTGAGGGAACCGTGTGAGACCCTCTGGGGCGTCAGGATTAATGAGGAAGGCCTCTCCGTTGGGAGACATTTGGAGATCAGGGATAATTTTTAATCCTTAATTGACTGTCTCTGGCTGGGATTGAATGAAACTCTGGAGGTAAGGCTTTAATTGGAGTGCGTGCGTTGACCGAGTTTCGAGACGCATATTGCTCAACTCTTTTAACTACGTGACAGTAGCCGTCTGACACTTCCTTGCCTGTAAGTACAAGTTCTTTCCATGATGCCCGAGAGCGACGAGTCCGACGATTCGGAGAGGACCCGCATTATGGTTCCCCCTCTGGCAATCCATAATCGGGCTGTTGTCTGATATTGCCTCAACTTGAGTGGAGCATT